AGGGTTAGGTTTAGGGTTAGGTTTGGGGGGGTTGGGGTAAGGTTTTCGCTTTATTTTTACATTTATCGATCACAGCGTGATGTTTTCGTCGCGCTGTGATGACGTCACGTACGCGCTTTCGTCAAGCGCAATTTTGTCGTCCGCGGTTTTGTGGTGGAACCGACATTTCATTTACTTTCCATCATTGAGAACAGAAAGGGAAGTGACCAAAGAAGAAAGAAAAACATGGCAAAGGAAGGACATGCGGTGTTTCATATCCTGCACCTTGACTAATCCCAGCAAGGGATTGTTGGGGTTGATTGAGGGGTGACAATAGTTGTTTCATTTTTAGAACTCCTGACAGGTCAGCTGGGATGTCTCGTAAATCTCTGGACACATGCAGCCTATACGGGTATCTCATCCAAAACAGGGCAATACATTTTAGCATTTTATTTCTGGGGGACCTTTTAGGTTTCTTACTTACCTTGTTCGAGGCACCAGCAAAGAGTGAATAAAAAGAGGACATAAGAAAGAAGCTGAAGGTAGTACATGTGCTGGAGTATGAAGCAGCTGGGGAGAAAACACAGGCAAGGTGAGATTAGAGCACATTTCTTAAGAGGTCATTGTAAATGTATACATTTCTGAGTATGGATTAGATCCATTCTTACTTCTTTAACAGCAGGTGATTCTTGACCTAACAGGTTCTGCACAGGAACCTTCCCAATATCCATTCCCTCTTTCATTTGCTGCCGATGCTTCCCCAATAACAGGTAAAAAGGAGTCATGGAGATGCTCTCCTCAACTGCTAACTATAAAGAAAATATGGGGGGGGGGGGAAATACACCTACATTAAGACATATGCAAGTAATTTTCAAGCAAGACACAGACATTTACCAAAAGTAGTACAAAACAAGAAAACAGTAGTTTATCTTTGGAGTGCATGCTTCTTCAGCAATCAGGTGCAACAGGATGATAGGCAGTCTTTAAGTAGGTCAGCCTTTGTACGTTGGTGGAACTAGAATATCTATCTATAATATGCTGCTAGCAGAATGAACTACAGAGAGTATCCCTCAACTTGTTTGGGAGGTACCAGATTAGGAAAGCAAGGTTGAACTAGAAATACTTGACCAGAAGATTGGTGCAATTCATGATTGGCTTAGCGCCTGTTCCATGTGAAAGACAGGTATCCTGTGACGAGGCATGAAAAATGACTTTTAAGAGCCCCAAAACGCCAAGAAAGGTACTGCAAGTCCTTAAGATGAAGGCCAATTGTCATTTGGGATTGCTTTATCTTAACAACCTGATTGTAAATTATGATATATGTTTCAGTGGTGGGATTCAGCCAGTTCGCACCTATTCGGGAGAACCGGTTGGTAACTTTCTAAACAGTTCAGAGAACCAGTTGTTGGAAGAAATCTTTTGTTTTTTTCTCACTTTACAGGGCTAATCCTGTAAGGAAGGCAGGAAGGAAACATTCTGGTGTTGTTTCTAGCCTAATCTTTATTGCCCTGCTTACAGAAACTGCCTCTCCGGTTAACCCTGATTACCATTGTAACAACTAAGGCGAAATTCCCATCGACCTCAGTGACATTGACTTGGCCACGCCCACATGATCACATGACCATCGAGCCCCGCCCACCCAGCTGGTCATTAGGGCAGAGAACAGAT